CTTAATGCCAACAGTGGAAAAGGGGGGCATTGTTTTACTAGGATTACTTCCTGCTGAAATGCTATGACAATTACTCCACTGGATCCTGCAGGATTAAAAAAAAAACAGATTAAAGCAACAAAAATTCTTAAGAGGACTTGCTGTAACAATTGTAGCTAGTCTCTGCATGTCTGGAGAATCTTAACTGAAGTTCTTATCTGAAGCTCTGACCAGGGTATAAGAAGGTGCACAGGGAGTTGTCTCAAGCCTTATAGGTTTTAGGGTGGTATTTGTTAGTTCAGAGGCATCGAGTTGAGTCAAGTGGAATCAATGAAGTGGGGCCCCATCTTCTTTCGGGAGAGTTGAAAGATTGCTTTTAGGAAAATTTTTGATAGCTGTGGAGGACTTAAGCATTAATATGAGCAGAGACTGTTTAATTTCTACATGTAAACATACAGATAAAGTTAACAATAAAGATGAAATTAAGAATGAGGATAATTAGGATTTCAGAAGCGACAGATTTAAGACTATAGTAGGTCTGAATCTTCTTTTGTTTTGTCTTACACTAATGGCCTTTTGAAGTGAGACAGAAACTCTGAATTTTATTTAAGCAACATGTTTGAATTTGGAGAATGGGGGCCAATTCCAGCTCCAAAGACAGGTTTGATTTTTATGTCAATAAGGAATATAATAGTGTTGGGAAGCAGGGGATCAGAAAAGAAGCATTTGGTGTCAGTATTTTACCATATGTCTGATTCTTCTTTGTATGATGGTTCCTTCTGGCTAGCTATCCTCTCTTCTTTAGGAATCTACATGTCTATCCTTTTGCTTTTATAGAGATAGATTTTCCTGAAAAAAAAAAAAACAAGGGCAAAACACTCCCCCTACCTTTGTGAGGTCTCCATACAACTCACGGGATATACCCTGGTGGATAACCAATCATTTCTCCTCATCACAAGGTTTCTTCTAGTCAAACTGGATCTTGATCAACTTTGATGGAATATAGAGCTTTTCTTTTCTTGTAGAAACAAATGTGAAACCCCTACCCCAATGTAAGCCATAGCTTGGTTTTTATACTGAGGTCATTACATCCTTGAAGTACACTGGCTGACTTCATTCAGGAGTTTTTCTATTGTCCAGTGACTTTCTGTGGCTGCTTTTCCTTTCTTTTAGCATTAAGAAAGTTTAATGTTACTTCCTGATGAAATGGGATGATGATTTCTCCATGATATCCTGAAGGAAGAAAAGTTTTAGCAATTAAATTTCTCAAAGGAACTGGGTGTGACATATGAAGCTAGTCACTGTGTGGCAGGAAATGCTTGAATGACGTTCTATCTAAAACTCTGGCCAGGGTGTGATAAGAAGGCGCACTATTTTAGCTAGCTAGTCTGGATTTATCTCAAGCAAAACTTTCTCAAACCGTTTTTAGGGTGATGTTTGTAGTTCAGATGCATCAGTTTGAGTCAAGTGGAAATTTCAAAGTGGGGCCCCATCTTTTTCCTGAAGAGTTCAAAGATTGCTGTTAGGAATTGTTATTATTCCTTCTGTAAAATTTAAAAGTCAATACCAATGTAAAATTATCAAGTTTTAAGGTATGCATATAAGGAAAGGCAACAATAGACATTAAATGTATATAAGAAAATTAAGATTTCAGAGAGAAATTGCAAATTAGTCCCCAGAGTTTGTTTTTTTCTGCCTTACACCAATTGGCTTCTGGTTATAAGGCAGAAACTGTGAATTTAATCTTAACAACGTGCTTGAATTTAGAGAAGGATAGCCAAATCCAATTTGAAAGCCAGCTTTGGTTTACATGAACTGGGCTAGAGGAATATTAAATAGTTAAGAGAAATAGATTTCTGTATAGAAATAGTTTACTACAATTAAATATTTTTTTTAACCAAAAATCAGATTCTTCTTCATTAAGTGATTCTTTCTGGAGATCTATCTTCTGTTTGTAGGTACCTACATGTTCAGTGTCTTATGACTGTTTGAAGATAGGTATTCTCTGTTTTCCTGTAAGGACAAGAACAGTACACATCCCCTACCTTTGAGAGGTCTCCACACAACTCATGGGAACAAATTTGTTGGATGATTTATCAGTTTTCTTCATTAAGATGTTTCTGTCGTTCAACTTGGATCTTGATCACTTAGATGGTATCTGTAGATTTTCTTCTCCTGAAGATACAAAGTTGAAACCCCTACCCCAAAATAACACATATCCTTGTTTCCATACTGAGGTCAATACTTCCTTGAATACACCAGCTGATTTAGTTCAGAAGTTTTTTCTATTGTTCAGTGTCTTTCTGCAGCTGTTTTTCCTTTTTCATTAGCATTAATAATGTTTAATGTTAATAAAGCATTATGTAATCTGTGTTTGGGTGTCTTGGTTACTCCTGACTGTTTATGGAGAATTTCCTCTAAAGTATGATTGGATCTCTCAGCTACTGCTTGTCCTGTAGGATTGTGTGGTATAACAGTTATATGCTTTAGGTTATAATATTCAAAATAACTGTTTCAATTTGCTGGAGACACATGCCAGAGCTTTGTCAGTTTTTATTTGTGCAGGCATTTCCATAATGGCCATTATCTATAATAGGTGTGTGATAACAGAATCAGCCTTTTCAGAGCTCAGAGCAGTGGCAAATTGAAACCCTGAAAATTTATCTATAGTGTGGTACACGTATTTTATTTTTCCAAATTCTGCAAAAATGAAACACATCCATTTGCCATATTCCATTTCTATTTATACCTTTATGGTTACTGCCTAGTGGTAAAGGAGTTTGGTTATAGAATAAGCAAGTAGGACATTTCCTTACTGTTTCCTTAGCTTGTTGCCAAGTGATAGAAAAATCATTTTTTTAAACCGTTGCAGTTCACATGGTGTTCCATATGAAACTCTGAGGCTTCTAGCACACTTTCTATTAATAATCAATCAATTTAATCTTTGCCTTCATCTAGAGAACCTTTCAGACCCATATAGGACATGACGTGTTATGTATATAGGATGAGTCCTATTTCTGATAGTATCTTGTAACTGTATATACAATGAAGTTAAGTCTGTATCGTCGGCAATAAATTCTGCAGTCTCAATGTGTAAGACGACACTCTCTGTGTATTGAGTCAGTGGGGACCTACTGTATTTTTCAAAGAAAGATAAAACTTTCATTCTCCACAGAACTCCATCTTATGGGTGCCCTAAAGTCTCTCATTCACAGAAGATTCCTAGGAAAACCCTACTGACATGTATATAATAAGGAGATATTATAAATCTGTCTACAATCATTTCAGATAAATCCCTACATGGGAGTGATTTTAATCTATTGGATACCATGTTCTTTCAAAGGAAACACAGATGGTGACATTCTGATTTTTAATATTATGATTTTCAAATGACATCAAGTTTGTATGATGAATAACATTGCTAATAATATTGTTGCATGTGACAGGGGAAAGGAAAACCAAAGTAAATGAGTTGTACAACGCCTGAACAGTAAGTGTAGAGCAGACATCAAGGTGTTTCCTAACTCTACTCAGAGTTTATTGCTCTCAGTTAACCACATACAAGGCTCAGGAGGCCATGTCCTGTGGTACTTATACACCGTGTCTAGAAGGATACAATATGTGACATAGAGATGATCAGTTAGTTCTTAGAATCTGTCATTCTCCTGGGAATTTTACAGAAATAGAACTTATACAATTCAAATAAGTCCCCAATCACCATGAAGACAGTTTATCTCAGAATAGAATAAATTCCTCCATTGGAAACTAAGACAGGCCAATATTGTCTCATGAGAGGCAATCTCAAGGCTCTTCATGCTGAGTCTCACCCAGTCAGTATAGTGTCATGACCTGGGTGGGGACAGGATGGGATTGATAGAGAGATGCCAAAGCTGGGTCCCAGAGTGGAGCTCTAGATTTCCCTTCACTTTTGGTACTCACACTCAGGTTACCTTTATTATTTTAAAAAGTTTAAAAATAATAATCTCATGTACAAGGGTGTTACATCCAACACAGCCCAAAACAGAATAACAGGTAAAACAAAATGTTCAAATTTAGAAGATTTTTTTCATATAAGTCATACTCTATAAAAATTTCAAACCAGTATTTTCCATTTTTTCAGACAGTGTTTCTCTGTTTATCTTTGCAGCTTTCCTGGGACACGCTCTATAGGACTGGTTGGTTTTGACCTCACAGAGAGAGATTCACCTGCCCCTGCCTTGCAAGGACTGATAATAAAGGCGTACACCACCCCTAGCCAAACTTATCATTGTTTTTCGATATTGAGTATCACACACTAGTCATTTTGCATAAATCTGCACTTAACTACATTCTTGAAACCTTTTACTTCAATTTAATATCAGGATTCAACATTCATAAACTTTGTTATTCCTTTTAACATCATCAAAATTTTATAATAATGACCTTTGTCAGATCACAATGAAGAAATAATAAATTATAAAACAAATACAAAATAAATAATAGCTAATTCGTTACTTCTTTCCCTATAATGCAGTTTTGTCTTTATCATTTTCTCTAGGTAATTATATATCTACAATTCAATCATAAAACTACAAAGTCTTCTGCTGCTCATAAAATCCACCCAAACACTAACCATGCATTACTGACTGATGAGCCCAGCCCTAGGTTTCCAATCTTCTCATTAAGTGTTAAGCACTGAGCACAGACCACTTGCTAAGGAATTGTTTGAGATAAGGTATCCTTGTTGCTTTTAAAATAAAACATTTTTCAGAATTTCTTAAACTTAGTTCTGTACTCACTCAAATTCCTCCCATATAAAACCTTCACTCCCCCCACAACCTCATAATTCTCCAGTGTTGTGTGTGTGTGTGTGTGTGTGTGTGTGTGTGTGTTTGTAATGCTTCTAGTACAGTGGTGATTATGCTTATATACATGTGTTTAGTGCAGTAAATCTGGAATGAATAACTTATAATGAAGTTTGTCCTTCATGAAAACTGATTCTCCCTCTTACAGAAGCCATTGATTACCCTGTGAAGTTCATCATGGATATCATGGGCTGGATCTTCATTGCTGCTCTTTTAAAAGGAAACTTATAGATAAGGAGAGACACTGAGTGTGTGAGTGGGTGTAAGTGAGAGGGTCAGCCAACATTTGTTTCAGTTAAGTGACAGAATTCTGTTTTTGCAGGTGTCCAATCTGAGGTGCAGCTGGTGGAGTCCGGGGGAGGCTTGGCACAGCCTGGAAGTTCCCTAAAAGTCTCTTGTGCATCCTCTGGATTTACTTTCAGTAATGCGTGGATGAACTGGGTCCACCAGACTCCAGGGAAGGGGCTGGAGTGGGTTGCACAAATTAGAGACAAAGGTAATAATTATGCAACATACTATGGGGAGTCCGTGAAAGGAATATTCACCATCTCAAGAGAGGACTCCAAAAGCAGCGTATATCTGCACATGAACAGCTTAAGAGAAGACACTGCCATTTATTTCTGTACTGCAGACACACAGTGAGAGGACTTCAATGTGAACTCTGGCACAACCCCCCTGCAGAAGTGCTCAGAACCAGCAGGGGGCGACAACAGAACATGGGAACAGGGACATTGCAGGAACAGGAGCAGACATAGTTGGTTGAGTCCTGGTTCTTGGGTCTCAAATCCATCTGATGATGTCCCTGACATTCTCTGCATTTGTGGTTTATACATGTTTGTAACATCTGTGGAAAACTAGTTCTGTTTTTTTTATATAATTTTAAAAACTACCACACAGTCCAAAGGAACTAAATACAAAAAAATTCACCACTTGTTGCACAAAATGCCCTACAGTGGTCACTGGGGTCAAGGCTAAGGAAGGTCAGAGTAATTGTGAGGCTGTACTCTAAATGAATTTCAGGAAAAGCTTAATTAATGTTGACTATGACAGTGTTTATGGTTAGTGGAAGTCAGAGTAGACACACAGTGTAACCTCTACGCCTGGATGGGTCTCAAATATTCCTTCTCTTTAAGATCTCTGCAGGCTAACAAGCCTTGCTTTAAATAGAAAGAAACCGTTAGGAAGTATAAGAACAATTCCACTGAACTGTGGCTAAGACTTTGTCTGGGCCACTGTGAGGTCTTGAATCCATTGTGTCAACATGGAAAAATGACAGATAGACAGACACACGGAGAGAGACAATGAGAGAGACAGACAGACAGAGAGAACATGAGAGAGGTAAAGAGAGAAAGACAGACAGAGAGAGCGCAAAATTCATAGATTTCCAAAGAGACAGAAAGGCAGACAGACAGAGAGACAGACAAATAGACAGGGACTCAAGGTGACAGAGTAGGGAAGGATTAAGAGTTTTACTGTGAATGTACAGGATGTACAGGATGATAATTGAGGTATTTGGTCAGGTTATAAGCTCATATAGATGTCAGGAACTTTACGTCTGGAATAGAGAATATCATTTAAAATATCTCTTATTTACCAGGGTCTGACATTAAGATCAGGTTAAAAGTATGATAAACCTAATATAGGTAGGACAGTATAACTTAGGTTGTTAACAACTGGGCATTTGATAGTAAATGATTCAACCTTCATTGCACACTTTCTCAACTTTGAGATGTGTCTCACCATTCCTGCATCCTGGTGAGCATGTCCTATCCTGTATGTAATAACTGTGATGGGTTAGGCGATATATTTTATAAGATGTATATTGTGAGATGTATATTGTAACTCTGAGATGTATATTGTGAGATGTTTATTGGGAAATGTATATCGTGAGGTGAATGGCCAAACTTTACTGAAGGTCAGATATATGCCTCCACCTAATGACAAAAATCATTGTATGAATATAGTTTAGAATGTTTGCTATCATTGTGAGGTTCCATTGACCTCTACTTGATGGAGGCTACTGATTCTTTCTAGCACCCACAGAGCACAGGACAGTTCTCAGAACAAACAATTTCCTGGGCCCAAATTTTATCATTTCTGTGGTACAAGAAAGTGGCTATAAAGCCTTAAAAGACGCTACTAGTTAGGCATTCATGCTGGTGAGACATCCTGGGTATAGTGTTTGGCATTTATAGGAAATCTACTCTCCCAACTATCTCCCTGTTTCTGTGACACTTATAATCTTTCCATATACCCTTCCACATTGATCCCCAAGACTTCTGTGAATTGTATTTAAGATGCCACCAACTCCTTCTCCCTCTCTTTCTTCCATTATTTCTCCTACCCAAATCTTGTGACTTCCACTTTCTCCTATTGCTTTATCAAGTATTCATTGTCCTCTCTCATCCCCCTCCTCCCTTTGCTAGTGTCCTTCTCTGCCACCCTTCTCCTTTGCTTCTGTTTTAACCAGCTTTACCTTTTCATTTTTATGTTGCGTAAATTTCTTGTATGAGCACTTTATTGACCTGAGTTACACTACTGTTCCACTTCACTCCACTACTACTAATCTGATTAGCTCTGCACTCACAGGTGCTACCTTCCTCTTTTAGTATATCCGGTGCATACTATTTACTGCCAGGCTGTACGGTAAAGGCAGGAACATGCATGAACACGAAACTTCAGAAGACTGTGTACAAATCAGGTATGAGGACTGTCTACAGATCAAGGAGTGTGTTAGAGATGACTCTGGGAATATGGTAGGTGATGTCAATAGACTTATAGTGGGTTATGACATGAGTAGAAGCAGAACATGTTTCCCTGTACCATCCACTCAGAGCTGAGGTCTTAGGTCACTGTTATTTCCCCAAAGGGACAATACTGTTAATAGTTCAACCATTGCATCAAGTGTGGGCACCAAGTGGTCAGTCTGGGATACCTCATGTGATGATTGAAATTTAATACACTTATTTGTTTATTTAGCTATCTATTAATTTATTGTGTGGATGACCACTCTGGCCCCAGATAAACCCACTGTGCTCATTTCCCACTTTCACATAAAGAGCTTGTGTCAGTTACTGAGTAAATGAGAGCTGGGCTCTCAGAGAGACTAGCTTGCAGCCTTTTCACTCATGTTGTGAAAGTAGACATCCATCATGCTCTCATACATCTACTTATAGGAATATCCCACATGCAAATTCACAGCATTATAACCCTTGTTTAAATTCAGAGCCTCCTATAACCTGCAGAGTATTTCCTGGAAGGCATTGAATTCACCTCCAAGAACATGAAACACTTGTGCGTCTTCCTTTTCCTGCTGACGGTTCCCAGCTGTGAGTTCCATGGGACGCAGGGGAGAACCTGGGTCTGCTGATTCTGAGCCCCTGGCTCACTCTTGTTCTTTCTTCACAGGCGTCCTGTCCCAGGTGGAGCTGCGGGAGTCAGGGCCCGGTCTGCTGAAGCCCTCTCAGTCACTGTCCCTCACCTGCACTGTCACTGGTTACTCCATTAGCAGTGGCAACTGGTGGAGTTGGATTCGTCAGCGTCCAGGGAAAGGGCTGGAGTGGATGGGTGAAATTTATAACGATGGAGACACCAACTACAACCCGTCTCTCAAGAGCCGAATAACTATGACAGTAGACACATCGAAGAATCAGTTTTCACTGAGGCTGAGCTCTGTGACCACTGAGGACACAGCTGTGTATTACTGTGCAAGAGACACAGTTGCAGAACTTCAGTGTGAGCCTGCACATAAACAAGCCTTCCTGCAGGGGACAGAAGTGTCTCTGTGGCAGCAGGCACTGAGTGCTCATCCAGCCCTGGTCTAAGCCCAGAAGGTGGCGCAGTGAGGAAGGACAACCCACTTCCTGTGGGTCCCGGAGTGTTCTGTCCACCAAGCACACAGCTGGCCCCTAGGAACATTACTTCTTTGGCTTTGTGGTCCTGCTTTCTCGTATGCTCAAGTGTTAGTAAATGGTCTCAAGAAAGCAATGGCATTACTTTTTTTTTTTTTTTTTTTCATTTTCTTTGTGGAGTTTAGACACTAGGGGAGAGAGGATGGGCAAATATTTAAGTCCATGAAATACATGCACATCAAGTAGTGATGAGTAGCCTTTGTAAAAGCAGACCCCAAGTGGGAGCTGCATGGTGTTTGTACTTAAATATGGTTCAAGTTTTAAAAATCAAAACATAAAGGCTCTTTAGTTCTGAAAGACTCTTAGGGACATAGGATGGTTTTATTTATTTTTGTTTATTTGTTTTGTTTTTGTTTTTTTGTCTTTTTTCCATACAGTACATTATTGTGCTCAGTTTTATTTCCAAATTGCATTTTCAAAACACATTTTTAAGCCAGGGATACTTGGTTTAAAGTTGAAACCCTGTTGACTGGACATTATTAGGACTGTATATTCTTTTTTTTTAAAGTTTATATTTTTATTTCATTTTATTTTACTTTTATTTTATTTTACATATTGATCCCAGTCTCCAAATATACTGGACCAAAAAAAAAGGTTCTCTTGACACTTAATAATCAAAACACCTAACATACAGAATAAAGTAAACAACAATGTCATTAATTGTATACATACGATAGGAACTTTGTCCTCACCAATTATCATTTGACTTCCATTTTATTCTTGAGCATCAGGATATGCCAAGGATTCTCAGTGTCCCTCGATTGAAGTATAAGCTGAACTTTGTCTGTATGAAATAATCATGGGAAACTTTAAGTGACAGTGTAATGTCCTTAAGAATGTGACTTGTTATATTACAATTAAAACGAAGCCTTTTAGGGCCACTTTTTTTCTTTATTTTTTCTTTATTTTATATAGCCAAGTCCATTTAAATGAAAACAAACATTTATAGACAATATTTGGGAATTTGAGCGTCGTTCTTTCCAAACAACTTCCTGCGGGTAAGGGGCGCTGTCATGGGGGATTCTAAGAAGATGCAGAAATCCTGGCTGTAGTCTGTAAGGCTGCTTTGTCCAGCTGTTTTGAATGTAGGATCACCTGATACTCTGTTTCAGGCGGTCTGGTTTCATCAAACCACATTAGTCTGGAAGGAATCCACAGCTTTTCATTTTCTGTGGACACAAAAGTAGAAATCCTTTTCCCCAGTAACTTGTCCTTGAACTAAAATTTTGGAGTCAAAGCATTTTTTAATTTAATTTGTTATTTTACATGTCGATCCCAGTTTCCTCTTCCTCCCTCCCTCTCTCCCTCCCTCCCTCCTTCCCTCTGTCCCTTCTTCCCTCCATTTTACCCTCTCTGCCCTCTCACATGCACCCTAACCACCCTCCCCTCCCATCCCCCCACCCCAATTCCATATGTAGGGGAATGCCATCCAGTTGGGGTCATGTAAATCTGACAGGTCATGTGAAGTAGGGACTAGGGCTTTTCTCCTGTCTCTAGGAAAAGGCCACTTTTAATAAAAAAATTACTCCACATTTTTCTCTGTTATGGTGTAGTTGTGCCCAAATGTTGCAAATAGAAGTTTGCTTGATGGATGGAGTTAACTCTTCTATGGGTATAATAATGAATATTTAGAATATACTGAGAGATTGTTCTATTTAGTAAAGTGGCAGTGATAGGTTCTACTCCAACATATGTAGCTTGATAAACACCTTATTTTGTATAAGTTTCCAGAAACAGGCATGATTTTCTACTCACTGAGAAAGCTTTAAGTCAAAGAGTTAGTTAATAACATCTGTTATTATCATTCCTGACTTTGTTTTCAGTATTTCTAGAAATCAGTTTCATGATATTTTTGGGTTTTATTGTTTTAGTTTCTACAATATATTTATTTTGAATAATTTTATTCTTGAAGAAGTGTAAGAGAAAAACCTTTCACACAAATCTCCAAATTCATATCTGTGCTCCTATCTTAATAAATGCAGAAGGAGTATTGTGTTTGGGTGATTTTCTCTGTCTTAATAGAATAAATGCTTTATTTAAGTACCAGGTCCTTTCACATTCTGTCTCCTAGAACCAGCACAACTCTCTGTATACGCAATGGGCTTATTGTCCTGTGTAAGGAGTACCCCACCCCACTCCGCCGCCGGTCTTGTCCTGCTTCCATGCCAGCACCAAATAATGCACAGAGAGTCTGTATTAGATATAATGCTGTTGGCCAGGTACTAGTTTCTTATGGGCTTGCTCTGTCTTAAGTATTAACCCATTTCTGTTAATCTAATATTTCCATGTGCTCTTACTGAAGAGCCCGCTGGCTTCCTGCTCTCTCCAGACTCTCCATCTTGACTCCCCTTACTACTTCCTCTTTCCTCCTTGTCTCCTAGTCCCTCCTATCTTCCTTTCCTATTGGCCAACAGTGCTTTATTCATTGACCAGCATGAGAAACATTTACAGAATGACATCTCCCATCACATACCTTATTTCTAATTGCTTCATCAATAAAGTTTAGACATTGATATGGTAGTACACCAGACCGCAAGAGTTCCAGAACAGCGCAAATTTGGATTCAAGGAAGGACTATTGGAGAGACTCAGTGTGCAGAGGACAGTCTCCATTGGAAAGGTTACAATTACTGACTCATAGTAGGACTTGCATATGATGAAGAGAATGTAAATGGCATTGTTGCCTTGTTACCAGGGACCAAATGGTGAGATTGTGGGGTACACAGGTATGAAGTCAGTGTGCAGGTCCAGTTCAAGCAGAGACCTTGGGGGACAACACAACCAGTGTGAAACCACAGATACCAGACACTGAAAGACTGATGTTATCCACCAGAATTCTAGGATGCTTGTGTATTAGATTTACATGTATATGATTTGCTCACTGCATGTTCTTATTCAAATGAGCCCTATGCAAAGCCTTTAGAGTAGAAATCAGAGGCTAATCTTCCTATCCCAGCAAGGGAGAGCCTGATTAGTCTAAGAAAACTACACTGCCCCAAATTCACACAGCATGGAGTGGGCTTGGAGGCTTCTTTTCCTGCTGGCAGCTGCCCAAAGTAAGACATCAGAGCCCAGCCCAGCCCTGCAGAGTAAACAAAGGTAGTTCCATGACCTCTCTCTTCCCATTGTTCTCTCCACAGGTGTCCAAACTGAGATCCAGCTGGTGCAGTCAGGACCTGAGCTGAAGCAGCCTGGACAGTCAGTGAAGATCTCCTGCAAGGCGTCAGGGTATACCTTCACAGATTATGGAATGAACTGGGTGAAACAGGCTCCAGGACAGGGTCTGAAGTGGATGGGCTGGATCAATACCAACACTGGGAATCCAACATATGCTGACGACTTCAAAGGACGGTTTGTCTTCTCTTTGGACACCTCTATCAGCACTGCCTATCTGCAGATCAGCAGCCTCAAGAATGATGATACAGCCATGTATTACTGTGCGAGACACAGTGTGAAAAACCACATCCTGAGGGTGTCAGAAACTCTGAGGGAAGGTGGCTCTTCTCTGCCAAGACAGCAACAGAGAAAATATGCCCTCCTCCATGACTAGGATTATGATGTTGGTGATTAGATACACAGGGAAATTGATCTGTGTCTTTGACTCTCCACAGTTCTGTGTTGACAATGAGGCCCCATGAATAGTAGAGGGGACAATGTATGGCATCATTATCTTATTATACAACTTAGTTATTATAAAACATCCCCATATAAATGCTGTAAACTTTTGACAAACAACTAATCATTTATTAAAACAGTAATCTCAAAACCTACATTTTTTATAACATATCTGCATATAAGTGCAGTAAACTTTTGACAAACAACCACGAAATCCTACCCATAACATGTATTAAAATAGCAACCTTCATCTCTATCATGCTTTCAGGGAGATGGACAGTCCAGTGGTATACATGCTTACAACTGAGAGGGCAAAGTAGGAGAAGACAGCTGTGCTGGAAAGTGCTGGCCTGTAGAGAAGCCAGTGTTGACAACAAACACTTGTGCTTTCATTAGGTCTGCTTAGGTGCCTCACAATGAATGTTTGTATTTGAACATAAAACTCACACATACCTGAAGAACTGAATATTTACAGTGTCCAAATGTATGGTACATTGTAATGTAAAAACACACAAACACATAAGTACAATATTTTCAGAAATCATCAATGGAAAAAAATAGAAGGAAATTCCAAGTACAAGAGTAAACTTAAAAAGAAAATCTTGTGGTAGTGAAAACTAAATTTGAGTCTTGAATCTGGATTTTCAGCTCTGGTAGATTAGATATGGTTGTCATGACCTGAGGTGTCAGGACTCAGGCCCAGACTTCTTCACCTTCACTAAAAGATTCCAGTTGTAATCTTAATAAGTATTCCCATATTTCTAATATTTAGATTCAGGAGAATGTATTGTACTTCATATTACTATCTCAGTTGTTGTACATCACAATTTTATTATAGTTTCAAATGTCCACCTTAAACGTTCAGTATTTTCTTGTAGAGAAAGGTGTTCCTAATGTGATTATTTAGACAGCCCGGTATCTTAAATTCTTTGTCTCTTTTCAGTCTTCTCTGTATTGTGTTATTTTGATGTGTAAAGTTTCTAAAATGATGAAACAGAAACATGGCATTCTACTTTAAATTCCCTCATTTTCATACATTGTAATTTGTAGAAACATTGTGATAGTTACCTTGCCCTTAGTATGCGAAATATCAAGTTAATATCTGAGGAATTCTATCTCTCTAAAGGGAACATTTGGATTGACAATGATGACATCGCTCATGATAAACACAGATTGTTCCCTTTGCCTGAGGTCACTCTGCCTGTTGGGTGCTGGCTGCTTCATCACGCAACTCTCCTATCTCTCTGGATCTAACTTCCCAAGCTTGCCATTCTCTTATTTCAAGGCTTGTCATAGGAGCTAAATGTTTTCAGCTATTTTGATATTTTTCTATATATAAGCCAAGTGGAAAACAGCTGTCGAATAGCATAGCAGCTATCATGTATAAGAGCAGGATTGGATCACTCTGTGTATACACATGTAACATGTATGAAAACACTAATCCCTGAAAATATGCTATGTATCAGAGTGTAGATACCCTTGATTTGATGCAAACAACAGGATTATCAGTCAGAGGAACTTCACTCCCATAAAATATTTTTTTTCTAGGTTAAAAATTTCTAGTGTTTCATAAAACTTGATTTTACGGGACTATATATACATTTATTTGATTACCTTTTCTAGATGTGCTAAATGTGTGATTGTTGAAGTCAAGTTAACATGCACAACACATGCTGTATATTATAGATGATCTTGTTTGCATGTTATCCCTTCCTACAATTGCAGACATGTGCCTTTCCATCCCCTCTTCCTTGAAAGATATGAGCTTTTTCAAGAGTAGAGTTACCAGAACATTCTCCCATTGTTGCAGAACGTTAGGAAATATGGACCTGTAACTTGGATCAAAACATTTAGCAGTCTTGTGGGCCATGGTACACATAAGAAGTAGTTTAGGGACTGATTGATTATCAACTGCAAACTCTTATATCAACTTTATCACAATTATTACATACCAAATGGGGTGTTATTTTTTTAAAGGTCAGAAGGGCAAATCAATGAATACTGAAATGCCATGAGTTTATTTTTTTGCCACTCTTATATACCATAACCAAAAAGGGAATATAGTATCATGTATATGGAACACACAGCATTTTCTTCCTCATTCATTCCATAGGATCAATACCAAATATTATCTCTAACTTCTTGTTCTCTAGCCTTGAGGTGAGGATTAGCCACACTCAGATTCAACTTGTCTTTTCTTAGCCTTGACAGTCAGGAGTAGCCACATCTCAGATTCAGGTCTGTTGTTATTTTGACTAAGATGGCTGAAACGTCCTTACTGTGGGCATAACTTTGACCTTTAGGTCTTGTGACTTGCTGACAGCTTTGAACTCTGTCCTAGTACAATGATTGTGTACAACATATTTATGGGCACCCACACATTCTCTTCTTAGTATAATTAAGAAATACCCGTGTTTCTGCTACCAGGACAGATGACTGTGTCTGTCTTCTTCAACCTTCCAGCCTTACCTGTCATGGGAAGCACACATTCTGTATTGTATGTCCTGTCTTAGGTAGCTTCAAGACAAGAAGACTTTACCCGTCTCTGACAACCAGCCTCTGTTATAAAGAACATTAGGGGATAGTGCACAGCTCAATGCCAACACATCAGAGCCAACTTTTCATCGAGATTTCACAAGCAAGTTCGATAATGTGTATGCTTTTGTAGCTAAAACATCTCCTGCAATATTACAGAATGTATCCAGATAAAATAGCCTTTTAAAATTGGTCTGAGATGTCTTGAGTGGCTTTTGTTATATCAAAATCTAAATCTGCCTATTCAATTGCATTGCATCTAATGCATCATGTCTAATTCTTAATAGAATGAGCTAACTTTTTCATTCATGACACATATAGTATAGCAAAGGTTGTAGACATTAATGATTCCAGTATGATTATTAACAATTCACATATACTTGACTAAATTACAATTCTCATAATTTCAATTCATTCAAAGGACAAGGAAATTTTCTCAGGGTGAATGAAATATGAATAACTCCACAATTCTACACCCTTTTCTTTTCCCTCTCTAAAGTCCTATGCACTGTTACTTATAATATCCAAAGATAAGTTTGAGATACCACAATCCTTGAGTACTAAAATATTAACTTCAAAAGTTTTGTTCATGGATGGCTCAAATAACGAAGATGGGCTTTTGTCCCACACCACATTCACAATAGTTTCAATTGTCCCAAGATGTGGTGTAGCTAAGTGATCAATGCAGCAGGATTGTTGTGAAACTGGAAATCTTGAACCAAACTGAAAGTCTGTTTCCTTATGAAAATCTGGAACCATTTTTTTTCTTTCTTTCTCAGACTATAGAATCAGGAACACAGATTCAGCAAGTCTCACTTGAACTGGATGGTCTCAGATCTAGTTTTCCTCTGTTCTACACATCTCACCAAACCATCTGGCAGCCACTGGGCTTCATTTTCTTCCCGAGAGAAAAGACAAACATGCCCTTGTCCCCATATTAGGACAATATGATGTCTTCACCTGTTTCTTCTATTCATTTTATAAGATTTATTCAAAATTGTATTCTTTTGTTTTTGGCAAATGACTATCCTGCACACAAACAAATACACTATTTATTAGTCTTCTATCAAGAGAATGGATGAGCATGTAATTTTCTTATTAGAGATTACATAGTTTTAGGTTGTAAAAGTTCATTACATGGGAAATCCAAGGCAAGTAAGCAAGTGATGGGAGATATCATTCTGTAAATATGTTTCTCATACTGGTTAATGAATAAAACGCTGTTGGCCAATAGGAAAGCAAGATAGGTGGAAAGAGGAGACAAGGAGGAGAGAGGAAGTAATAAGGAGGAGTCAAGATGGAGAGACTGGGGAGACCAGACACCGGCCCCACTCCCCGGTAAGAAGACCACGTGGAAATATTAGATTAACAGAAATGGGTTAATAATTAAGACAGAGATAGCCAATAAGTAACTAGTACCTGGCCAACAACATTATATCAAATACAGAGTCTCTGTGTGTTAATTGGAGCAGGTGCGGCAGTGGGACCAGACCAGCGGCGGGAGGGAAAACCTTACTCCTTACAAGTAAGACTGGTTATTACATTTTTCTAATAAAGTCAAGCTAAAGAAAAGGGCTGAATAAACAGTAAGAAAACAGTATTACATCTTACGTGATATTAAATGAACTATTCACACTGCTGTGTGTTCTAACAAAGTTTCAGTCTATTAGACTACAAGAGACATTGATTATCATAAAGTCCTGACACATAAGTGTAATACCTACAAGTTGTTTGTGGTGATTTGAATAAAAATGGTCCCCATTGGCTCATTGGCAGTAACACTACTAGGAATTGTGACCATGTCAGAATAGGTGTGACTATGCTGAGAAATGTGTATCACAATGGGCTAGGCATTGAGCTCTCCATTCATTTCCTGCTGCCTGTTTCTTCAGATGTAGAACTCTAGATCTTTCTCCAGCACCATATCTGCTATGATGGCAAATGACTAAATCTCTGGAACTATAAGTCAAACAAATACAATGTCTTTAAGAGATGTCATGGTCATGGTATCTCTGCACAGCAATAAAACCCTAAGATCAGGTTAAAAGTGCTATATAATTATTTTTCACAGAAATAATACATTAAATTAATGCATATACAAGTTAATTGAGCATATGTTCTGAGATTACACATTATTCTCTGCTGTTATGTTTTCTGCCATCCCAGGCCCAGGATTCTTCCCTACCATCTCACACCTTTAGAGAACAAGGATAGGATGTACATTGATATAGCATCATCACACAACCCACTACCCACTATTGTTCACATTTGTCCTATAAAGCATCTGATTTTCGGTAAATGTGTGGTGCTTGATAATCCCAAGTGTTTGATGTGACTGATAATTCTTTATCTTTGAAACTCAATTTTTGCATGATCATCTATCAGACATTCCCTTCATAT